CCTGTCCAGCCAGACCCCCAGCGGGGGGGGGGGGTGGAGCCGCTCTCCATCAGCCCCCCCCTATGCTGCCTCTGCTCCCCCCCCCTGACAAGGCGTGCCCAGACACGGGATGCTGCTTACCTGTCCCCTTTCCCTGACGTGGAGGAACTGAAATATTCACTTCCCCCTATTCGCAGTTTTTGGCATTAAAGCTGCAAAGCAACAGGCAGAGAGAATTGGGTGGGGTGGGGTGGGGGGTCAGGCAGGGAGGGGCTTTCCTCCTTCCTCCTTCCAGCAGGCTCCAGGGACAGTTTCTATGGGGGTGGGGATTGGCTGCTGAAGCCAAAGTGGGCGTTTGTTGGGAAAGACGGTTCTCCGGGGGTGTGTGTGTGTGGGGGGGGGGGGGTAAGTTCCCTTCCTTTAGGCAGGGTGGGCCGAGACCAATGCTCCCTTCTAAGCTGTGGAGTCTTGTGAGCAAAAATCCTACTTGGTGAGCCCCTGGCATTGAAGTTCTGAGCGAGGGATTTGGCCGCTGCATCAATCAGTTTGCTCTGGAGCCACCTCCTTCCTGAGCAAAGACAGAAAAGTGTGAGCCGGAGGCCAAAAAACTGAGAGCTAGCTCCCACTAACTCGGCTTAGAGGGAACATTGGTTGAGAGCACGCCCAAGAGGTAGCGAGCGCACTTGACGTCTCCCACGACCAATAAGCGTGCTAAGCGGAGATCCACTCCGGCATGCCCTGTGTGCAGCTGTGTGCCCCCCCCCCCAAGTACTCTGGGAAGGGCCAGATAGACTCATGGTGCTTGGAACCCACGGCCTTTGGTGCAGCAGTGCCTCCTGGGACCTGGGGAAGGGAGCCCCGGGAAGTTGTGTTTGTCAGGCTTGCGGGTTGGCTGAGGGGGGGTTCCTGCTTCCTACACTTCCCTCCCCCCAGCAGGAGTGGCCGCTTCTGCTCCCCCCCACCCACCCCCCGTCCTTTGACTTGGCAGTTCCACGCTGGAGGAGCCCACGAACCTCTTGACCGCCCCTCACTTTCGGTGGGGTCACTCTGTCTCTGTCCCTGAACAAGGGGGTCCCCGTGTACCTCTCCCCGCTCTTCTCTTGCAGTGGGACCTCCCGCTGTGGGCTCCTCCTCGTGCTCTGCTGCAGCCCTTGCACAGGGGGGGTCGTCCGACCACGCATCTGCCACGCAACGTCGTCTGGGTGCCACGGGGGGGGGGGGGGCCCACCCCAGGCCGGGGGG